TGTTTGTTTCTAATTCTTGGTAACTATTAATAAATTGTTGTTATTTTTTGTCAAAGGATGGGATTGTGTAGATGCACATTGCGGGATTGCATGGAAAACACTATTTAAATTCTCAAGAAACTAGTAGATTGTGTGTTCCAAAGAATTGTGTGCTTTTGCATTCCTACCATCAGTGAATGAGAATTCTTCTCATCTGGGCCTTTGAACAAATATCTGTTGATCAAATGATATTATCATGCTATGAATTTATGCCTTTTTCCCCTCAAAGGGTTTTGCTACCAGTGGATTGGAATCCTGAGAGAAAAATAAACTTACTTTAAAAGTACAGATAAGGAAAGATTAAGGAAAACATTTGTGTACAAAGTATTTAACCCTTAGGCTCGTGCTAAGAATCTTGAAATTTCACAATTTTGTAGTTAAATAACTGCTTTGATCTCTTTGAAACAAAAAGTAGAATTTGACCTTTTGACCCTAGCACACATCTTAATTTTCTCACTCCCCCCAAACTGGTTGCCTATTTCTTGGAATAAAATTTGACATAACTGTGAAGATGACACATTATTTTTCTTCTTTCTATAATACACGGGAAGAATAGTACATTCCAAAATATAAAAAAAGACTTACAAAAAATGTGAACCATAGTATGATACTGCTTGTAGGCTTATAATAACATTTGTCAAGTCTCTAGTAAATGATACTAAGTGATAACTGCATTTGAATTTTTATACTGCCTAGGATAATAACATTTTTAACCCAATACAGAAAATGTATAGAGGGAAAGAGACAAGGCCTTAGCACAATTTATTAGCAATTATTATATGGTAGTTGCTGAATGATAGTTTTAGAATGGAAAAAACCTAGCACTCCATTGAGTTAAAAGTTAAATTAAAGAAGCACACATTGAGAATAACAACGGGGTTTTAACACCTCACCCTCAAATCCCAGTGTCTTCCTGGGACTAGATCTAATGATCAATTTTTGGTTTTTTTGAGATCTGGAAATTCTAGTCTCAGGTTCTTCAAATCCTGGCTCAGTTTGTTGGAGACAAGGTGATGCCCTCTTTCTCTCCTATTGAATCTACTGAGAAAAAGAAAGTTAATCCATCAAAGGGTTAAAGCAGATCTTGCGCCTGATGTACTCAGGGAACTTCAGTCCTTTCTTCTTGCACATAGATGCATTGCCTTTTATTTTCTTCCAGTAAGGCCCAATAAAGATGCAGCCTTAGCCTTCTGTAGGACTACTTCATTAGTAATATTCTTCTTATTTCATGTGATGCTGGTAATAGCTGAGCAATAACAAAATAATAACAACCTCATGAAGTGTGGATGTGTATCTATGGGAGAGAGACAGGAAAGGAAAGTGTGGAGGGAGAGAGACAGGGAAGGAGAGTGGGAAAAAGATTTGAGGTCAAGGAGGAAACCACTTAGAGTACTATGCTTGAAAAAGTCATTTTCATTGGCTGTAAATAGCTGGTGGGGGGAAGCTGTGGGGAGATTTGGGGACTTCAGCAGAGTGCGATCCTTCATGATTCCTTCATGATTCTGTCTTCCACCTGCAGAGAGATGTGTTTAGATAGGGCTTAATAATAAAGGGGGGACAAGACACCTTACTAACAGGAAATTTTGTTCGGCGCTTGCTCTGTTGTGCTATGTGAGGGTTGCCATTTTGGCGTGCAAAATTCTTTCCCCTCACTATGTGATTTAAATATGATGTGACAATGCAGTGTGTACTGGTTATTCTTCACCGGATTTCTGGTCTGCTCTTTCCTTATTTTATGCTCTTTTGTTTTTAAACAATAGAGCTGATGAATCACCACCTTCTAGAAACAGTAAGAGTGGTGAGTCACGTCTCTGCAGTTACAGTGTGTGTGTTTTACTCCCATAAGACACTTACCCCATGTCTCTCCCTTAGCTGTTAATGGTAGCATACTTTAAATGCTGTTTTATCTCCACAAATCCATTTGCTGTTATTATTGTCTAGATATAAGTGATTCCAACAGATTAGTCACAGTCATCTTGCATCAGTGATACTCTTTGCATCTGATGGGGTGTTTCTCTTCCCTTTAGAGTTATAGCTGGAAGTAAATTCTGAAAAGTGTTTTCTAAACGTTTTTTTTCTCATTATTAGCACATGTATCACACTTGTTTTTGCAGTTATGGGTTTAACAGTGTATGGTAAATATGAATATATAAAGTAGTTCCATTTGGTTCATGCAAACACAAAACTGCATTGTAGTTCTCTTTTTTATTGTCAGTATTTTTTAAAAATTAGTTTTTTTATTGTGAAAATACTGTAAAGAGGGGTTACAATCACATGAGCAAGGTAATATGTATGTTTCTTTTTTTTGGGGGGGGGGATCCGGTCGTGGGGCCTGAACTCTGGGCCTGGGCGCTGTCCCTCAGCTCTTCAGCTCAAGGCTAGCGCTCTACCACTTGAGCCGCAGCGCCACTTCTGGCTTTTTTGTTGTTGTATGTGGTGCTGAGGAATCGAACCCAGGGCCTCATGCATGCAAGGCAAGCGCTCTGCCACTGAGCCACCTTCCCAGCCCGAATATGTACATTTCTTATCAAGCATTGTTGCCTCCTCCTTTGCTTTTCCCCCACCATGCCTTCCCTTTCATCTCCACAACTACACTCCCCCCACCTAAATTGTACAGTTCATTTTCTACATAGCATCTTGTACATCTCATTGTTGCAATGGGTCCACCTGTATCCCTAGCTAAACAATTTGTTTTTCCCCTTCTGCTCCCCAAATTATACCAACATCAAACACAGTGAAAACAGGGGTTATACCATGGGGGAGAGATATACAAAGCAACAAAAAACTAGCAAAAAGAAAAAAAAACACTTGTGTCCTTATCTTGGGGTTCATTTCACTTAACATCATCTTATCTGACCTTCACTGTTTGTCTCAGATATGTACTAGAAATGGCTATATTTCATCATGGAGATAGGGTTGTTTTTTTTTTACTTTTAGATCTCATGGGTCCAATTGCCTGGTTGTCTCTTTCTCAAACTGTGGTTGGAGTTTTACACCCAGGGATATGTTGTGAGCTCAGTTTTCATATTTATATTCCACAAGACCTATTTTGTATGTTTGACTCATTTCTTCATTCCATCCACCTTGGACACTTTTCATTGTCCCATGTCTCTGAAGAGGAGCTGGGACTTTCATCCACACACATTTACAGAGGTATAAGGGGGGTTATGGAGAGTAATAGAAAGGTTACTCTGATTTAAATACAACATATGCATTGTGAGATACCACAGTGAAAAGACTTCAAACAATTGCTAAACACTTATAAACATGAAAGACAAGAATATAAACTGGGTTGTGCTCAAAGGTGATTACCAGTGGGATAGGAAAGGAAAATGGAAAGAATGAGGAAGGGTGAATAAGATTGACGTACTGTGTAGATGAGTATGGACTAGAAGCAGGAAGGGCGCAGGGAATACGGGAGAGAATGACGGAGAGGGAGATTAATCAATACACGTGTGAGCGTGTACCGATATGTAGCAATGATGATCACTACCTCACATACAATTAAAAAATACTGATAGCATGTTTTCAAAAATAAGAAACCAACGGTGAAGTTTTCCTTAATTCTTGAATGTCACTGTGTACCCAGGCTCTAACATTTCCATTGCCAAAAGTTAGGAGTACACATTCAAAAAGAAAAATAATGAACCTGATTTTGTATAAGTATCTCTTCCCTTCTCAGCTGACACCATCAATATAGCATTAGAAGGCTCGTTTACATTTGTCAAGATCAATTTAAAATGATATCCATCAAATTAATTAGTAGATGCTAATTAGTTTCTTCTTGTTTCCCAAAAATGTATAGCAAGTGTCAAAAATAAAGATTAATACTTTCTTAACTATTCAGATTAAATAACCATCCTGGTTAAGAGTGTATTGGCTTCGACAAACTTGACATTAAGAGTACAGAGGGCTTTGTAAACATTTCAAATTTAAAATTTCCATTGCTTTTTATAAACCTGGAGTATATAACTACCTGAGCGATGTATGAAGAAAGAGGAAGAACCACACGCTCTTAGAGTACAATAGAAGCAGAGCCATGACGTGAGGCAGTTCACACTTGTGCATAGTTTGATGGATTCATCACATAAGAACTTGTAAGGATTTGTAAAGAATAAAAATGAATCACTATTGAGAATACGGAAATAAACTTCCTTACATCAGGTGGGAAATTTCACATAATACTGGTTTTGTGACCATTACTAATCCATTAATCCTTTTAATCCATAGCTTGACTTCCCTTTTTTTTTTTTAAATTCTTTAATTCCTCATTAATGTCTAGGATGTGTTACATATAAATCAAAATCTATGTACATAAGACGTATGTACAAAAGAAGTAATGTTCACTACTGCCCATGTCACAATGCCAAACTGTTAGCAATCACTTTGTTCAAAATTTAACTTCACTGCTAGTGTGTTTCTTAGTTCTACGGAGGTTTAAAAGCTTTATTTGGAAAGAAGAAAACATTTCTGGTGAAATAAAAGCAGAAAATTATCTCTTAGTGTATAATGCTGAAATTTACAAACACATGTTTTATCATGGTTGTCAAATGAACTACAAAAGTAGAATAGATTGTGTCTGTAGGAATACAGTAACAATTCAGGAAACTTAACTCTGTGCAGAGGGGCTTATAGGAAGTCCTAACGGTGGAGCTGGGATTCAAACTCATTAGTTTTTTTTAAATACCACTGAATTTTTATTTTTTTTATATCAATGCTCTTTTAATTCTATGATCTACTCAATTTAACAAAACTGCCAACAATTGCATCTAGCTTGGGGCAGACAGCACTGTAAACTTTAAACTGCATTCTGTGCCTTTTAGAACTAAAAGTGCAAAAGGAAGGGGAGAGAAAAATGTATCTCTCCATCTATATCTGTCCTTCCTTCTCACTTCCTTTTTGCTCTCAGCTGAGCAAGAAACTCCGTTGAGCTGGTGAGTAATTTTGCAAGGCTTGTTTCACTTTGTTTCTGGACAAAGCTGAGCTCGTTGCTTCAAACAAAAAGCAGCCAATTACTAACTTCTGGTTGCTAGGTGTGGCCTCCCTTCAAATCCTATAAAACCAGACTTCTGGAGCTCCACGTCTACACTGACTGCAACCTTCAGAGAAGAGAGAGTCTCTCCTTAGTTCTTTGGCAGAAGGTTGGAAAATAAAACGGTAAGCCTTGATTTTCCTGTAAGCTAATTTTGGTTGTCTTGAAAACATTTCCCACCGCAGTAGAAACTCTTCTTTGAGTTTGTTTTCTTCCAAAGAAGTTTTGTTGCTGTTCAATGCTACTACTTCTATAGGATTGATGAATGAGGAGACTTTCTGTAACATTGCATTGGATATTTATGTTTTTTTTTAGGCCTCACAAATTGTAATGCTTTGTTGGACTGAGTTAGGAATGCAATTTCAAAAACTATACTAAGTTCACTTCCTTGGACAGATGTTGGTTTCCATAGCAGAGAAGGAAAGAATGCACGTAGTCTCTGAATATGTTTCCTTTCCACCTCCTTGAAATGTGTGTTTTGTAAGGCTAGGGAAAGAGGGCTTGGGGAAGGTGTTTGGGGATTGCTTTTAGAGAGTGCTTGTTTAGGGGGTGCTAGTGGTGCTTTTCAAGCAAAGCTGTTTCAAATTAGCAGGAAGTGCATAATTCATTTTTCTCTCTTGTAAAGAAAAGTAAATAGACTTTAGAACTTAGAGTGGTATTTGCTCACTTTTTAATTAACGTTTTGAAATTAATGTTATGTTTACTCAGCCAGCTAAGAAGGTCCACTTATTACTCATTTCATTGAAACAGGGTGTGGCTACATTCTTCCTGGAATCTCTGCCCTGGACAGGCTTTTCCAGTGTTGGTTTGAAAACCCAAAGGGGAAAAGAAACATTTCTTGGGTGATGTCAGATAAATTATCCCATGGGAATGTCAGAGTCCTCCACTTGGATTGCTGGATGAGCTCACCATCATAAACTTCCTTAGTACATAAAGCACAAAGCACATCTGGAGTTTTACTGGAGTTGGATATATTTGCAAAAAATCGGAGCTCATGATTCATATCCATGCTTGGCAACTAGTCAAGGACTTTTTCTCTTAGCCCTTGTAAAATGTTAATTGCATGCCTCGATTTCTAACTTTGGATGGTAGTTCACTATAGTGCAGTCCTATTAGCTCTGATTGCCCTTAAAATTATATTTGAATGGAGAAAAAGAAAGCAAGGTCCCCTTCCCTCCCCCTGTTCAGAGGAATGTGTTTTGGTAACTGTTAGAAGGCCCATTGCAAGTGAGTGGAATGTGGAAAATGCTGGCTTTGTAATTCTGGGCCTCTCCCACTAAAGTGATGTTGCCACCCTAGCCCCAGGTCCAACCACAGCTGGAAGAAACCCAACGTGGTGCTGATGTTGACAAAATTATGATTACATTATTAATGAACCAGCTATCTAGCCATGCTTATGAAGTACTTTTTCAATCAAAACATCTGCAAGGTTGATTTTATAGATATCAACTGACTGAGCTGATGGTTCTTAATTGTCTTTGGGCCCATTAATTTATGACAGGCTTAAAATTAGAGCAAAAAGTAATGGACCTATTACTTTTGGTGATAAACCATCAACAGTTCTTGTAGTTCTATTTCCTTTGAAACTGGGCAGGTGTGTGTGTGTGTGTGTGTGTGTGTGAAAGTTCAGAACAGATGCAGTTTATCTATGCCTTCCTTCATTAGATTGTTTTGTGTATCTCTATCTCCTTGAGGTGAGGTGAAATTCACATTTGACATTTCAGAGCAATATGGATCTTAAGAAAGATACTACCGGGCTGGAAAGGTGGCTCAGTGGTAGAGCGCTTGCCTTGCATGCATGAGGCCCTGGGTTCGATTCCTCAGCACACATAAGCAAAAAGAAAAAAAGCTGGAAGTGGCGCTGTGGCTCAAGTGGTAGAGCGCTAGCCTTGAGCTGATGAGCTGAGGGACAGCGCCCAGGCCCAGAGTTCAGGCCCCACGACCAGACCAAAAAAAAAAAAAGAAAGAAAGATACTACCTAGCTACTCAGGAGGCTGAGATGTGAGGATTGCAGCTCGAAGTCAGTGAGGGCAGTAAAGTCTGTGAGACACTTATCTCCAATTAACTACCAAAAAGGGCTCGGAGTAGACAGGTGGCTCAAGTATTAGAGGAAGAGCCTTGAGCAGAAAAGTGTAGGCTCTCAGTACAAGCCTTAGAATGGGCACCCCCCTGCCCCCCCAAAAGAAACAAAACATTCCAAGTGAGACTCAAAACATTTCAGTTCTTACATCCATGTCTTATAGTTGTGAGTAGATGTTTATTTCTTAAAATGCTAGTATCCACAGTATTTGTGGATTGGGTGATATTATGAGTATGTCAAAGCTTTGTGTTTTGCCTGAGATTAGAGGTTCATAGAGAACAGCACATGTATTCTGACCTCCTGGGAAGTACCAGTACCAAAATGAAGGACTATCTTCAAGGCAGAATGCATGGAAGGTATCCCAGTTCAATGCAGAAGATCCCTGGAAGGTTTTTATGGAGACTTAAGGAATCCTCTAAGCAAAGTCCTTACTGAGAAGAAGCAGTTAGTCAAAAGGCAGTGGGGTGTGGAGGAGGAAGGAGCACTTCAGGCCCTGGAAACTCCCCATCCAAAAGTCTAAAACAACATGTCTACAAGCTACCCTTCCTGTAGTGGTTCCTCAAATGCATCCATTGTATTGAACATGGGTGTAAGAATGACTTGCCAAATAGATAATCTACTTTAGGTAAAGCTGTGCACAAGACTAAAACATTTGAAAACACACAACCAGGGCTCTATGGTAAAGTTTGTCGTAGGTTCTCTGGGTTGACTGAATGAATCCTAGTCTCATATTGAGTAGCTTACAATGATATTGATCTTGTCATTGTTTCTTCTGTCACTAATGTAAAGGGGTGTAGAACAGTTTGGAATCTGAAGATGTAAATTTACATCATGATTCTTGATACCACTGGCTGGAAATTAACCTGAAAATGACATTCTTCCTAGATTGGAAATAAGGCCTAGAAGTTAGAGCTACCCCTATGGTAGAGTTCTGACAGCTCTAGTGTGTAACTAAGGTAGGCTGTACTCTAGACTCACTCTGTCATTACTCAATGCAAATTTAAGAATTGTTGTGTTTTGCAATTAATATAGCAACACCATTATTGTAACCAACATTATTGTAACCAAGACCACAGACCAGAGGTTCCTCTGTCATAAATTCGGGAACTAACCTTTCACAAGGTTGCTAATGATGGGAAAGCAAAAGGGTCTTTCAGCCAGGTGACAGTGGCTCACACCAATCATCCTCACTATTCAGGAGGCTGAGAATCTGAGAATCACAGTTCAAAGCCAGTCCAGGCAGGAAAGTCCATGAGACTTTTATCTTCATTTAACTACCAGAGAACCAGAAGTGGTGCTGTGGCTCAAGAGGTAGAGAGCTAGCTAGCCTTGAACTGAAGAACTCAGGGACAGCACCCAGGCCAAGAATTCAAGCCCCATGACCAAAAAAAAGGGAGGAGGTCTTTCTTCAAATACTTAAAATATACAAAAATGCTAAACTTCAATGACAGATAAACTAAGACTGATAGACTGATGAATAGCGAATGAGCACAAAGAGACTATTAGAAGAAACATAGACTACCATTAGGTTCCAGATTGATCAGTTCATATGTACCTGGCCCAATTCATCTTCCATCTACCTGATGTAACTTTGAATTTAAATCTCAGTGGGACTGAAATGCAGTATTTGTTGAGCTACAATGGTAGAAAAGGCTGTCCAATACTAATTATAAATTTTAAAGTTACAATAAAAGAAAGAAGGAAAGCATTTGTGAACTCACAGGACTGAGGATGATTGCTGTAGCAATCAACCTTGGCTAAAATATGTTTTGCTATGGAATTTATAAGGTGTGTCGAGGTTGGGCAGAAGTTCTGTTTATTCATGTAATGAGCTTGGGGCACTTACTTAACTTGCAGCCAGAATGAAATCTTTTCCCTTCAGAGCAGTTTCTTGCGTCCTGCCATAATCCCTGTATTTTAAACTTTGCTAAGAGCTAGATGGCTTCATCTGACTAGTAGATTTCATTAAATTCATTTTGAGTTTACTGGACTTTTTTTTTTTTCTTCTGGTTCTAAGAATGCCCCATGTCCCTAGGGTCTTGGATTCTAGGCAAGTACTCCCTACCACTTTTACTTTTATTCTTACTTTTTGTTTTATTTTGTTTTTTGGTTGGTTGTGGGACTTGAAGTCGGCCTGGGTGCTGTCTCTGAGCTCTTCAGCTCAAGGATTGCGCTCTACCGGTTGAGCCACAGTACCACTTCCGGTTTTCTGGTGGTTAATTGGAGATAAGAGGCAGGGACTTTCATGCCTGGGCTGGCTTTGAACCGCAATCTTCAGATCTCAGCTTCCTGAGTAGCTAGGACTACAGGTGTGAGCCACAGATGCCCAACTTACTCTGTTTTTGATAAGGGGTCTTATCAGTTCCTTTGTTCAGTGTAGTCTTGAACTTGAGATGCTTCAGCCTCTACCACCTCAGTAGCTGGGATAATAGTATGCAGTGTCACCTCCAGCTCTATTTTGAAGTGTTTCTTTATTGGCTGAAAAGAGTGAAATTATTGAATATTTTAAATATTTTTGTTTATTTTGAAGCTCCTACTCTATATTAACTATTAAGATGGACAGACCACACTATACATTGTGAATAATTGAAACTGCTAGAATTGTGAACTTTGGGGTGTGTCAGTGAAGCAATTGAGTATGAAATTCCATTTGCCAACAACCATTACACCAAATTAGCCTGTAATGGGAAGTACATCACAACCTTAACTTAAGAAATCATTTTAACTTTTGCCATTGCTGGAGCCTGTATTAGTGAATATACAATATATTGGTTCTTCCCACAAGTGACAAAGGAGTAACTTAAACAATGATGGTAATTAAATGGAGGTTGTTTCTGGCTGTGGATATTATTTCCTGCAGTTATTTAAACTCATGACTTGGAACTGCTCTTATTTTTCAGCAGGTGTGGACTTGAAACATTTGAACACACTGAAGGAATCAATCACTTTATTTACTTCTCATGAGTCATTTAGTTTGGGATTATGAATTTAAACCTGTAGAAGTTACCCTGCTGAATTCCACCACAGGGATTCATGGTAGTCATCTCTGGTGGCATATCACAAAAGGGTGTGAGGAAAAAGAGGCAATACTAATATTCAGGTAGCTCAAGAAGGAAGAAACATGAAGATGCTAGGCGCCAGTCACTCTAAGTACTAAAATAAATTCACACCAAGAAATAGAAAAGCCAACTTTTATTTTGGGAGAAATCAATGGATTTGAGTTTTGAGTCAATCCAGTCCTGCACTTTGCCCCAGGTTATTTTAATTTATATACATGGATGTATTTTCTCTAGCCATCCCTTTGATATAGGCATGGTTAATCCAACATAGAGTGTCTAAGGGGTCACTAAGTGATCTCTGCTCTTGAGGGGTGAATATCTCTTAGCCATTCTCTGGGATGTCTCCCCAGTGATTTGGATATCCATTTAAACTTCTTTCGGCTTCTATCAACGTTTCTTTCTCCAGTTCACTTTTGTTGTTGTTGTTTTAGCTTTTCAAATAGGACCAGTTTTATTCTCTTCAAGTTCTGTCCTGACTCATTTTAAGAGAGACCGAGCTCAGCTTGCTCTTCTAAGGAATTTCCTCATTCTTGTGGTTTTCTCGTGGAGACCACACACTAGTCTCTAGGTTCTTGGAGGCAAATGGTATTTGAAGGTTCTGCACTCTGAGTAGTTGGCATCCGGTGGGTGATCTTTACATTTAAAGTAATGAGGCAAACCATCTGATTCTCTCTTCAATCTGTGCTGACTTACAGCACTGAGCAGATCCTTAGAGGTGAAGACTGAACACATCTAGAAAGAGCTCAGTTTCTGACTGGAGGCCCTGGGTTCTTTGGAAGGATACATTTTTAAAAAAAAACAAAACCAACTAAAATTCAGATTTCATTACAGTACTTAGTGTAGTTGCAAGGAGTTAGGATGCAGTTATTCTGTGACGTTGTGTTTCCTGTGTATAAGAGGATGTGTGCATGTGCAGTGGGCCTGTTTAGTAATAGCATCTATTTTTTAATTCCAGACCCTTTTTCAAAAATGGCCATGGTATCAGAATTCCTCAAACAGGCCTGGTTTATTGACAATCAAGAACAGGACTATGTGGTAAGTAGTGAACAACAAAGTGACTTCATTGTTTAACAGTATTGAAATAGAAAGCAACAGAAGTGAGTAGACACTAATTGATGTCTCTGTCATCTATAGAAAACTGTGAAATCATCCAAAGGTGGTCCTGGGTCAGCCGTGAGCCCTTACCCCACCTTCAACCCATCCTCGGATGTGGAGGCTTTGCACAAAGCCATAATGGTTAAAGGTGAGCATGTGTCCTTAAAACAGTTCTCTCCTGAATATTGTATGGTTCCTATTTAAAACAGACCTGAAAGATGGGAAGGAGCTTCCATTTGAAGAGATAAAGAGATATCTTCATGGAATACAGATTTATTTCCTTTTTCAGTTCTTAAGGGAAGTTTGATCAAGTCAGTAGGAGCTCAACTACTGCAACCATTTGTTTTTTTTGTCTAATAGAAACTTAATAGTGAATAAACACATGCAGGGTCTGAACCCTGATCTTTCCTTGTACCCGATGCCCAGGAGCAACAACTTGGCTTTTCATTTGCCTTTGAAATGGATAGACTATTTTTCTTCTAGATAGACTATCTATCTTGATAAGTAGTGCAGGACTTATTTTCTTAGTTTATTTAAGAACTTAATGTGGGTTACCTTGATGATGAAGCATGTAATGTCAGTTGTAGATGGTGGAAAAAAATTGGGATTAATTGATGTTAAAGCTGAACACTTACCCCTCCCCCAGGTGTGGATGAAGCAACCATCATTGATATTCTCACTAAGAGGAACAATGCTCAGCGTCAGCAGATCAAGGCAGCTTATCTGCAAGAGAAAGGAAAGGTGGGTCCTATTTATGCTTAAACATAGATTTTGAACCACAGAGCTAAGTGTTTTTTTTCTTTTTTGGTGTGGGGGGGAGAGGGTTGCTGTGATGGGTTTCTAACTATTGTTTCTCCAGTATCAATTAGACAGCCATTGCGTTTATGTAATTTAGTGTCATTGAATCAATTCTAGCAAATTTACTGGTTTCATGTACTTGCCAGTTTGATATAAGTCCTCAGATCTGTGTACTGGAAACAATCCTTCAATTTGAACACACTAAGCATCAAGATTACTAAGGATAAGAAAGGATATGTTTTGATTGAGATGAATTTTCTGCTGAAGTTTACTTACTTTTTGTGTTTTGGTGGACTGAGGTTTGGACTGAGAGCCCAGCTAGGTAAGCGCTTGTAATATTTCAGAGGGCCTTTTTTACTGTAGATATTTTCAAAGAAGGTCTCTGGTTTTTGTCTGGGCTTAGTCTTTAACCATGATCCTCCTACTGAGGAGTCCTAGGATGCCCCATTTCAGCTTAAATCTCGGGTTTGTAAAATGAACTCTATGTTTCTGAACCCTAGAGTTTGCATCTAGTTCTACCATCCAAGTGATTTTTCTGTTCTGTGTTATAGCATATGTGAATAAGCTTTCTTTTATTGTTAAATGTAATTTTTATTACTGCGCTTATTTGGGGAATGCAAACCTCAAAGCCTTGCAATGTCAAGAAACAGTTTTTTAGAGTATTTTACTACTGTTTTATTAATACATAACTTCTTACATTTTGAGCCCTGTCATTTCTTCCTTGTCAAAAAGATGGAGAGCCCTCTATTTCAGAAGTTATCAGTGGATTCAGCACATTTTTTTTTTTTTTATCAAATTCCTTTTAAAAGATTAAGGTGCCATCCCTAAATATCTGGTATGTTTTTCACTGTGAAAGGAAAGACCTGGGAAAGACAGTTGGGCCTAGGAATCTGTAGCAACATGACAGAAAGATCAGGCGATGCCAGGTTGTTGTGTAACAGAGCACATAACTTACTAGGAGTCCTGATTCTAATCTGTTTTGCAGCCATTGGATGAAGTTCTGAAGAAAGCCCTTGTGGGTCACCTTGAGGAAGTTGTGTTAGCGCTACTGAAAACTCCAGCCCAATTTGATGCAGATGAACTGCGTGCTGCCATGAAGGTAACATGACTAGTGCTAGGCAAATGCCTTCTCTCAAGATCATGTCTATATTAAATCGGCCTGTCCCTACTGTGTTACCTTTGATAGCTTACATGCATGTCCGTTAGTGGCAATTCAGTGATTGTGTGCTTGTGCATGACTACTTCAATACATGAAGACATATACATGAAAAATATTAATATTGCTACCTTTATCCGTCTTATAGTTTTCACTGTATAAGTCAAATTGCTTCAGCTTTCTCCTCCTCCTCCTCCTCCTCTCTCTCTTCCTCCTCTTCCTCTTCCTTCTTCTCCTTCATGTTCTTCTTCTTCTGCTGCTTGTACTGCGGCATGAATGAAGGACCTCACACTTTCTAGGCTGGTGCTTGACCATCTGAGTCATGTGTCCAGCCCACTGGTTTCCTGGTTATTTTTATGGTCGAGTCTCATCACCAAGACACATGTCTGAGAACAACCTGCCTATGTTAGCCTTCCCATAATCCCCAAGTTACAGCTTGCTTCTTTGGAAATGAAGTCTCATACATTTTTCTGTCCAGGCTAGTGTCGAACCACAATCTTCTCGATCCCAAACCTCTCCGCTAGCTGAGGGGTAACAGGTGTGCTTTACGACCTCCAGATATTACTTGAAAAGGGGTCTTAAGAGCTTTTCTGCCTGAGTTTGTCTCCATCCCCATAGCTAAGACTATAGGCATCAATCACCCACACCCTCTAAATATATTCATCTGTAGTCTTTTACCCCAAATAGTGACTATACATCTATTTTATTTTAGACAAATCTAATACATTTTGTGATTATTATATATTTATGGGTGAAGTTACTAACATATTTCTACAAAATTTGTGGTACAAAAACTAATTTCTCACATGAAATAAAGATGTTTATATATTTTTTATTGCTTTCAATTTAGGGACTTGGAACTGATGAAGACACTCTGATTGAAATTTTGGCATCTAGAAATAACAGAGAAATCAGAGAAATCAACAGAGTCTACAGAGAGGGTAATTGATAATGTCCAGTAGACTCAATTGTAATTGGGGAAGAAATATTATATTCTTTTAAAATTCTTACTTTATTTGTGCCGGTACTAGGGCTTGAATTAAAGACCTAGGTGCTCACCTTGAGCTGTTTTTGCTAAGATTAGCACTCTACCACTTGAGCCATCACTCCATTTCCAGATTTTTACTGATTAATTGGGAAAAAAAGAGTCTCAGACTTTTCTGCCCAGGCTGGCTTTGAATCACCATCCTCCGATCACAGCCTGTGGACTAGCTAGGATTGCAGATGTGAGCCACCAGCACCTGGCATTACATTCTTCCCTGAAAGGGATTGCAGGTGTTAATTATGAGAACATTGAAGATTCTTTTTTTTTATTTTTATTTTTATTTTTTGTGAACATACTGTACAGAGGGGTTACAATTACATGGGCAAGATAATGAGTACATTTCTTATCAAGCATTGCAGCCTCCTCCTTTGTTTACCCTTCACATCCTTTCCCAGCCTCCCTCTCCATCCCCCCCCAATTCTTCCCCCCCCCCCCCGCACAAAAGTAGTAAAGTTCATTTTCGACATGACAACTTGTACTTCTCATTGTTGCAACAGGTCTGCTTGTATCCTTAAACGACTTGTTTTTCCCCATCTCCTCCACAAATTATACCTACATCAAATATAGTGAAAGCAGGGGTTATACTGTGCGGGAGGGACATACAAAGCAACAAAGAAATAATCTTATAAATGCGTTAGAAACAAATGCATGAAAGAAAAAAACATTAAAATACATATCTAAGGGAGAACATTGAAGATTCTATCCAGTGAAGTGTCTCCTTACTGTTTGGCCCTGTCTACACACATCCAACAAGCAGCTTGGGTGCTTAGGAGGGAATCAAAACCCTCTCCCAGTTGGAGTTTGAGATTTACTAGAAAATACATGTTGTTATAATGGAAACTTCAGAGTGAAGACTTCAAAAAGTTTTCTAGAAACCTTTTCTATTTTTCTAAGAATGATTTCATAAAAAATATTCTGCTCTCTTTCATTTTAAAAAAGAATTAGGTATTTTGATTCTTTATAGAAACCTTTATTTACCATTATGAGCAGCCATGATGATTGGCTCTTTATCTGTCATTGGATCCATGGGGGCTGATGGCTATTGAGGGAAACGGCCATTGATGCTATGTTCAGAACTGCAAAGATGATAACGGCAAGTCTCTTGCTGTTTTCTACTTTCCCAAAGCTGCTAGTGTTTTACATTTCCCAAACAGATGGCACCCTATGGAGGATTTTTCTGCCTGATTCTCTCATTGTTTCCACAGACATTTAGTATAAAGGAGTAAAAGGAAGAAAGCTTTTATCTTCATTCCCTGCAATTCTTACAATTAATAGCTACCCGATAGCTATTTATCAGAGATAATGATCAAAGCGGCAGTATTTTATTTTGCCTGATTAAAAAATATCCTTATTTCTCTATCATACCAAAGATAAAGTCCACTGAGAGTTTATTACGGGTCATTATAAATTCAGATTAATTATGTCTGCACACAATAAACCACATAAAAAACTGTATAAAAATTCATCTGAACATACATGAACACATAACATTAAGCTAATGTTTTGTGAGATATTTTTAATTTTCAAAGTAATTTATGTTGAAACATAACATGTGTTTTATCATTATAAATGAAGGGTCAGCTTGTATCATTGCCTAATTTTTGCATATTATAGTCCAGAAATAATTTGAGAATTAGTTATTTGATTATATATACTAAGCAGTTTATCATCACTAGCTAAGTTTACCAAACAAGTTTTCATTTACGGTACTAGTCAACTTGTTTGATTTGATAGTCTAAAATTTCACTTGGTCTAATTTCTCTATTTTTTTTTAGTAAGGATTGCAATGTTTTAAAAAACATTTCTATAGTTCATTATCATTAACTATTGTTATCCTATTACAAGGGCCATTATTTGAAAGAGTTTACCACAAAACCTTTTTTTTTTCTTCTCAGAACTGAAAAGAGATCTGGCCAAAGACATCACATCAGACACATCTGGAGACTTTCAGAAGGCTTTGCTTTCTCTTGCAAAGGTACAACTCGAGAACTCTAAGAAATGCCTCTCCTTTCATAAAGAAGAAACTCTTAAATTTGAGCTCTCTCTAGAACTGGGTGATTGATCATTTTGTCTTTTTAACTACTATTATCTTGGTTGATAAATCATAACTGTACATCTTTTGGAAGTTCAATGTTCTGTATAACCTACGTATCTAATGTAGAGCTGATGAATCAAGCTAAGTTACATGTCCATTACCTTACTTACCTGTTGAGTTCTAGGATGGGACATTTAAAACTTTCTCCCTTTGTTAGAAATATACACTACATTATTGATTATTGACTTTGGTCGCTTGGCTAAGTAAAAGAGCCTGCCTATTTGAAAGTCTGTACACTTACTCTCATTTCACCCCCTCCCCTAACCAACACAACTCTCTGCAACTATGATTCAACCATTTCACGATTCCACATAGATGTGACAGCCTGTGGCATTTGCATCTCTGCCTGGCTTGTTACACTTTCTGTAATGTCCTTTAGGTTCACTCATATTGTTGCAAAAGACAAGATTTCCTCCTGACACTTTTCTTCAACAAATATTGCCTAACACAAAAGGAATTAAGTAAACCATGTATTTACTTGCTACAAAAATGCTCACAATAGGATGGAATTTTTTTTTTCAGGGTGACCGAAGTGAGGATTTGGGTGTTAATGAAGACTTGGCCGATACTGATGCCAGGGTAAGGAAGAGCTGAGAAACTACTCCTGCAGCCCAACTTTTCCCTTGGTGGGCTCAACACGCAATGCCCTCCATGTTAAACTCACATCTCAGATCCTTTGCGAAGTCATGGTTCTTTCATCTTTGTCCCCTAGTGACATACAGCTTCCAGAATGAAATTTAAATTATTTTAGTAGAAATTGTTCAATATATCAAAGAGAACAAGAGTTAGCATTTAAATAATTGCCCATACTGACAGTGATTTCCATTTTCTTGTGACATTTCTGAATATACATTTTACATTGAGGCTATCAGTTTATATTTATGGGACTATAGGAATTAATGTGACCAAAGAAGATGATAGTCATTAGTACTGCAGAATTAATAGAGCATAAGTGTGACCATAAAGAGATTTATCTTTTTCATTTACAGAAGAGTAAGATCTGTTGCTTAGTCAAGTTAAACCATTTGTCTAAAACTACAGAGCTTTTAAATTTCAAAGTTGTGATTTGAATCCAGAAATTATAACATCAAATGCCAGATCTAGCTTATGGTTGGATTATTGACTCATAAATACCCTTTTCGAATAATAAAGAGTAAAAAGTCTGTTTCAAGGAGAAGTCTTGATATTAAGCATAAGTTTAAAACAACTTAATTCTGCAACCATAGAAAAAGTTCTAATTTTACAGGTACATTAAAAGATACTGTGAAAGTCCTTGACAAACACAATAAAAATCCTTGGAATCTTAGTGCATCCTACTCTGATTGTCTTGAGCCCAAACCTATTGCCTAGAAGTTCTTAGAGGGTCTATTTTTTTTTCTTTACAGGCTTTATATGAAGCAGGAGAGAGGAGAAAAGGGACAGATGTGAATGTGTTCAATACCATTCTGACCACCAGAAGCTATCCCCATCTTCGCAGAGGTAACAAGGGAAAAGATAATCTTGGAGGTTTGATGGGAGGTGTGTTTTCTCTATTTAGGGCAAACAAAAGAAAGAAAAAGTCAACTGGTAATGGTCCTTCTCCATTATTGCAATTTGACTATTTTTTTTGTCCAATGTGTTCAGCCACCATTCCACAGTAGTAGACACATGCTTTATATAGACATGAGAAATATCTATGTCTTTTTTTTCCTTTTCTATTTCTCTAAAAGATTTGGAATATATATGACCATAAGATAGATATGCAGCAGGACAAATGAAATTATAATGAAGTAAAACAAAACCTACTTATAATGAAATAAAACAAAACCTACATAAATTCAGAGTTCAATGAAGGAAAGGAAATGTAGATGTTGGAGAAATGAAACAAACCTTCCAGGAAAAAAAAAAAAGTTCTGACCTGTATGCAAAAGACTTACCTCCAAGTCTCTTAGAAGCCACAACAAGGGTAAAAGTCATCATAATGACTTAAAGTTTATTATCTTATAATAAGAGAAATTTTCTGTGTAGACACTCACATACGCGAAGGTCTATGGGCTATGGGTGTGTGCACTGTGGTGGTTATTGGTATGGTTGTCAAGCAATGTGATTTTCAATAATTGTTTGCCCTTGTAAATGTTGACTTCCAAAGATGGGAAATAGCTGTGTGAGTTACATTCTTAGGACATGACATAATATTCACATCATCCTGCCTCCTGTGAAGAGTTTAAAAATGGTGCTGGAAATTCAATTATCCAAAGAAATCCGTTTACTCTGATTCTGCTTGAAGTTTACCAGAGAATGCAATGCTTTCTACATATCTTCATTTGAGTTGAATGTTCAGTGTTTCAGAAATACACCAAATACAGCCAGCATGACATGAAAAAAGTCCTGGACCTGGAGATGAAAGGAGATATTGAGAAATGCCTCACGGCGATCGGTGGGTAATTACGCAACTGGAATAATTTCCAAGTAGAAATGACATTTTCAGCATTTTACTTGACTTAATGAAAGCCAGAAATAAATGAATGGAAATAAATACCCTTCAGAAGTGGAACATCTATATTTCAGACAAAGGCATCATGTAAGACCAGCAAGGAAAGTCCATCTTAATGGTGGGATATGCTTACTTGACAGCTACTAATGACAAGCAAGACATGCCCGAGAAATTCAGAATTGTCACTAAGAGCATAAGATGTAGAACTAGACAATTGTTCCTTAAAAGTCCTGGTGTACTTGTCAGTTGAATGATCTTAGGCAAGTCTAGGGGAATCTGATTTAGTAAGTCTGGGTGGGCTTCAGAAATTTCCAGACTTAGCCGGGTGCTGGTGGCTCACGCCTGTAATCCTAGCTACTCAGGAGGCTGAGATCTGAGGATCTCAGTTCAAAGCCAGCCCGGGCAGGAAAGACCGTGAGACTCCTATCTCCAATAAACCACCAGAAAACCGGAAGTGGTGCTGTAGCTCAAGTGGTAGAGCGCTCGCCTTGAGCCGAAGAGCTGAGGGACAGCGCCCAAGCCCAGAGTTCAAGCCCCACAACCGACAAAAAAAAAAAAAAAAAAAGAAAGAAATTTCCAGACTTTTCAAGGTAGTTCAGATGACCCTCAGGGTTAAGAAACCTATAGGTTCAAACAATGCTTCTCGCCCACCACAGAAGCTTCTGGGACTCATGGTAGCAGGTAGCTTCTGATTCAGTAGTATGATACTGGGTCCTAGGATGTGCATTTCTAACGAACTGCTTATAGACTTCTTTTGAATAACAACTAAGAAGTAGCCATACAAACATACCCACTAGCATATTGTTTGGGCAGCTGGTTTTTATTTAGTGTTTCTTCTCTCCTAGGACTTAAAAAAAATGGTCACAGCTTGAAGCAAGTATTTATTTCCATGGCCTTGAACATGTTCTGTTTTCCTTATGTTTAGGGAGGATATACTTAGGATAGCAATGATGATTGAAATTGTTCTTGGTATGCGTTTAAAGCCACTACAAATAAGTTGAGAGGAGAAAGAATACTCAAAACCAATACCTGGAGCGCCATCACCAACCTTCCACTAAACCCAATATCCCATATTGGGAAGGGCGATAGAAGCTTGGTGACAAAACTTTTCCTTTAGTGACAAATTACTTTTCCTTTCAAGTGCATCTTTCTCCTGTAGTGAGCATGCCAACTAAACTCTGTGTCTCTTGTAGTGAAGTGTGCCACGAGCCCCCCATGCTTCTTTGCTGAGAAACTCCATCAGGCCATGAAGGTAACATTCTACTTCCACACTTGGCTGAAGAGCAGAACTGGTAGATAAGATGGACAATGTGTGTTTGTCTGGAGACCGTATTTTTATCTTCCCCTTAAAAAGAATCACTGCTCTGAGTCAATGTGAGAGTTGAAACACTAGGCTATTAGATTATACTTCTGCTCTGTGTGACACTTTTTAAAAATGCGTCGATTTGACTGTGAAGCGAGCATGTAAATGAGTTTTTGTATGATTTACGATTTGCTTAAAACCAAATTCACCTAAAGAAGGAGGGTAAAAAGTTTCCTTTTAGGGTGTGATTTGCAGGAGAAGAAGAGAGAAAAGAGATAAAATTCTCCTTTTAGGGTGTGATTTGAGAGAGAGAGGAAGAGAGAGAGAAAGAGAGAGAGAGAGAGAGAGAATGTGTGTGCGCGCACGTGTGTGAGGGAGACAATGTGTTTGTGTGAATGTGAGAGAGAGAGAAGGAAGATTGAGATTTAGCAATGAAATAATGAACTGATAGTCATGTCTGCATGTGTGACAGCGGCGATAGACATGCTTCGTTGCTGTCTTGTGCCTGCTGACATCTAGTGTAGCATTTCAATGGGTAATGATAAATATCTGATGGCACAGAGAATAAAGAGGACCATTTGCCCCAGACCTCAGAAATCAATGAAGCCTCGCTGTCAGTTCGCTTAATACCTGAAGTGTGAATAGGAATGAGGTTAGTTAGAGTGCAGGTGCACAAGGTTAAAAGACAGCACATGTAATTAGAGTTCTGGTGCCCAGGTGTCCAAGAGAGTGGTTATAGAATCTGGTAGGACCTTGTAAACCCTGATATGATGATTGTTTTTTCATCCTAAGCTTAGTAAAATACCACCGACTGATATGATTTAGACAGATGAATTACATGAGATCATATTCCAAATTTCAGCAAAAAGCGCACCGTTCCTAATTACTGGATGGTACAGACAGGAAAGAGGGCAGAGTCTACTGCTTATGTAGTGGCTGGTGTGCGTGTGTGTATATGTGTATGTGTGTGTTGTGGGGAGAAGGTTTCTCTAGAAAGAACATATTGAAGGGTATGCCTTAGTGAGTGTTTCTCTGAAGAAGAGTAAAGTCTACTTGGCTTTGGACAGGGTGCTGGGACCCGGCATAAGGCACTGATCAGAATCATGGTCTCCCGTTCGGAAGTTGACATGAATGATATCAAGGCGTACTATCAGAAGATGTACGGGGTCTCTCTCTGCCAAGCCATTCTGGTATGTTGGGATTTTTTACAATTATGCTTTTAAAAATGCAGACTCTTTTGATAACATATTTATAATAAACAACTGATCTAATATATCCATCTTGGCATATGTTTGTGTGAATACTTTATGAAGAATCCCACTGGAAAAATGCATTTGGAATTTTGTTAACGGGTAATTTCTTCCATTGTAGACAGACATCATGATTCTTTGAACAATTAATAATAAAAGATAAGGGACTAATTACTAAACATACTTTCTATACATTTTACTTGGTACTACTAAAATAATCTTGTAATATAGAAAATATCTAAAATTAGTGTTCAACTTACTAGAGCTTTGAAAGGAATATAGAAAGAAAAAAGGGTTTTGAACCTATTGGAAAATAAATGATTTAAATTGGCAGTATTTGTATTTAATAACTAAAATCAATCAAGAAAAAGTAAGAAAATTGTGTCTATAATTTTCTTTCTAATGAATGAATCAAGTATTTTTCATTTATGAGATAAGATTAGATTGTGCTGTGTTTTCTTCAGTTCTGTGGTATTATATTTCATACGTAGAAAATAGTTGCTCAAATAATGAACATAATCCAGAGAACTATTTAACCTGCTTGTGTATAATTCAGGTATATTACTCTCTGTTCTACACATTTACTTAGCTGTAGAGTTCTTTGGTTAAAGATCCTAGAAAGCATTGTGTTGTAATGGGTGAACTGACCTATAGTTGACTCTACAAATACTATACTTATTGTATCATTAAGCAATCCATGGACTATGATTTGGCATAGCATTGATTGATGTGTATTTTTGTATCAACAGGATGAAACCAAGGGAGATTATGAGAAAATCCTGGTGGCTCTGTGTGGCGGGTGCTAAGTATTCCTTTGGTGCTCTGGATCATGTGACCAGTAGTTACTTAATCATAGCTTTTCAGTCTTCACCATAGGCATAAGTAGGAAAGTATTTCATTAGCATCGCAGCGTAACAATCTGCTTTCTTAAAAATAAATATGAATAATGTTATAGTCTCTACAACATTTTATATCATAACTTTATGCAGTAGAGATACCTTTTTTTTAAAAAAAAACTGTTAAGTACAAATGATAAAATCCATAAATAAATTGTTCTGGTAACAATACTTGCGGAAGATGTTTATGCAGCTGAAAATAAAGTGATTTTATTTACAAGATAGTTGGAGTATGGCTCTTCTGTTGGGATTTTCCTTTGTGTGTAATTTAGTTGTGTATAATTTAGTAAGGGATTGGATTGGGATCCATACTTGCAAACATTTAATGACATAGATTCCACATGCCAGACGTGTTTACAGATGTTGAAAATCATCTCAGTGATTCCTTATCTTAGTACAACTTTTCATGGAAGTAGATCTGTGTAAGAGTAGAATTTATTGTCTCTACATTATCAGTTAAGATCTTCTCCATTTCTCATGTTTGGATTATTATCATGACCAAATTTGTTGCTTAGTTTTTCTAAAAAAAGAACCACCACCCCATTATCACCATCACCAGAGCCAAACAACAATAAAACAAACTGTTCCTCAGTTACAGAGTCATTTTTCTTGCCCATCAAAAATATAACAATGTCTGTTTTCTCTACATCTTCACCAACATTCAGTGCTATCACTATTTTGTATTTTATTCATTTTACTTTTTGAATTACTGAGCTCGGACTTCTTTATATCGTCTAGGTAATACTGTTTCTTCAGATATATGGTTTTTAAAATATTTTCCATCTGTGGCTTTCTTTACCTAAACAGGGATTTTCATAGAACTAGTGTATTGTGTTATAATAATATTCAATTTATTTTTACTTTATAGATTGTGCTTTAGTGTCATGCTGACAAACTATTAAAGTCTCAGCCTGCAGTTTTTTTTTTCCCTTTACGGTTTTAAATTTTACAAGTAAGGTTAGACCCAATTTTTACTCTTGTGGTACTCAATTGGAGAGATTTTTTCATACAAATGTCTCATTGCTGCTGCATCATTTTGGTTTATTGGAAAGGTGATTCTTCCTCTTTTAAATTGCTTTTGAATTTTTACAAAAGCCAACTGTACCTATGTGCGCTTGGCACTTTAATTTTTAGAATTTATCTTCAGTAACACACACACACAGACGTTAACACTTTTTGAATGGATCCCAATTACTCTTAAGAATAATAGCTGTCTTAAGGAAGCAAACTGATCTAACCCACCCAGCTCTCTATCATTCCGGTACTTTCTACACATTACCATATAACCTTCTGCAATTCCTATTTCCTAACGGACTTCTGACCTCATCCAAAACATTATTTTAACTTTACTCATCTTAAAGACATACACTGAATTTAATGAGCACCTTTAGCATTGTATACCTCTGTCCTCCAGCACACACAAGAATTAATTACATTTTATGTTCAACTTATTTGGCAAAACGGCTTCATAGCTCAGAAGCTTGTTCTCAGTAAGCGAAGCTTGAGATGAATCATGATGCTTCTCTTTGTAACCACCATGAAGCATTGCTAGGCAGGAGAAAAGACAGGTATAAATATTTGCTAAGGGTTTGTTAGGACGTGAGATCAGAATAGTACAGTGATAGAGGTCTGAGTTACAAGGATGCCTCTTCCATTTGTTAGTTCATCGATCACAAAGATAACAATGGCTTTCTGAAGCGATGAATTTGCATCAGCTAAAAGATGGGGATAATACCACCACCTGCTGTTTGAAGTTCTATCAAATTAGACATAATGAGGTGGGAATGACTGGACTTGATCATTGCCTAAGAAATTGAAGTAACAGCCAGTATCAATCCAGCTAAGAGTACATTTTTAAAGTAAATCAGTGTTTTTACATACTGAGATAACTGGCCAAGCCAAATAATTAAATCAGATTTTGGTTTGCTCCCATATTGTTGCCAAAAACATCACAGATGTCTGGTGATTGAACTTTAGTGAAAGTCATTCATTCTTTCCATCAAGCTGCAATGCCTTGCAAAATTACAGTGATTGGGGAAGACGTTTCTGCACCGGAGTTGTGTATTGGCTAGAGGTTGGGCCAGAAATACAGGAAGAGAAAGAGCATTTAGTAAAATGGAAACCCAAAATGCAGTCCTGTAGCAATGGTGTCCCATCCTGTCCACCCCCTCTCCCCCCTAAGTTTAAACAGTAAGGATTTTGAATATTGACTGAATATCTAAAGGAATCCATCTTCTGATCCCTTCTTTGGAGTTGATGTGGAAACAATACCCTTTCTGGCCATGTTACCATCAACTCCATTCTGACTCTGAAAACTCTTGTCTTCACACTCTCTTTAAATTCACATCCTGGTCCCATCTCTCACTTGTGGGACTGAGGCCTAAGTTTTCTACCTCTTTATGTGTTCCCTTGGTGACTGCTGCAATGAAGATCTTGATGATTACAGTAAAACACAAAAGAAGCTCATAAGCAGGGGGCTTATTTATTGAGTAATAAATCTGAGGTCCCTGGAGCTCTGGCTGGGGGGAGACATCCTGATAACACTCCTAAGGACGAAGCTTTCCTAATCATAGGCTAGAGCTGTGTGAAATAACCATGCTACTAACCCCATGATTTAATTTCCAGTGCTGAACCCAGCGCTCGAGTTAGCAGGACTAGAAGTGGAGGATGGTTGAAAGACTCTGACAGGGTCTAGTGCTACCAAGGGGGGAACGAAAAGGAATGCGAGGTGCCGTGGCAGCCGGGACCATGTTTACAGCAGGGAGACATGGGAAGGCCTGGGAGAGGCTGAGCTCTGCGCTGCTCGGGTCTCTGCTCATTCACACCTGGCAGAGCATCACCCCCAGGATCTCTCACAAGTCACACCTCAAGACCCTCGTTTATCATTGTGAACATGCCATTGGTTTCTTAGTGGGGTAAGAGCCCAGGCGGACCTCATGGATTGGGGCTACTATGTAATTAGCTGTGGGTCCTGGTGTAGTAAATCTTGCCATCTACCAAAAGAACACGACGTCGTATTTTTAGACGCTGGGAGCTATTCCAAGGGGAGCCTTCGTTTCCATGGCTGAGTCTCAAGCTGAGTCACCAACAAACTATATACACATCTGGAAAAACCAACCAACACACCCCAAACTGGTTTGGCTAGTCTCGTGGAAAGAAGCCTGCAGGCACTTTCCTCTAACTGGAAACGATTTCCATTCTCATGGTGCTTGTGCCCACTGCAACTTCTGTGTTGGGGGAACAACCGCTAGTTATTGATTTCAAATGTCTTGGCTTTTATGCAGGAAATATCTGTGTTGTGGTTTTTCTAGCGTCTTTGGATTCTCCACAGTTAGAGCTGCAGTTTGGTCTTTCTTCTTCTTAAAGTCTTTTACTGGAGCCTAGAATTTATTTTTAATTATTGGCATGCATTACTTGTACATGGGGCCTATTATGTTCCTTTCCCATCTTCAAATCATTTCAACTGTTTTAATTGTTATCTATCTATCATCTATCTATCTATCTATCTATCTATCTATCTATCTATCTATCTATCTATCTATCTATCTATCTATCTATCTATCTATCTGTCTGTCTGTCTGTCTGTCTGTCTGTCTGTCTGTCTGTCTGTCTGTCTATCTATCTATCTATCTATCTATCTATCTATCTATCTATGTTGGCTATACACTTCAGTAATTTCCTACTTATGTTAATTGCAAATGTCTAATTCCATCATCTATTTCAAAATGATTACTCCTGGGAGAAAATGTTGGCCTCTGATTTCATCCAACTTGTAAGCATTGCTGCCATCTAGTGTTAGTATTTTCAATTTTTCCTTAAGTGTGCGGGATGTGCATAATTGTATCATGAACCAAAGAGAGTGCTCAGTATCTTTGTAAGGCTTACAGTCTTACCGGGGACATACAGAATGTATGTATAAAAATTTTAAAGTATTTAAAAATACTATGAAAAACAGATGATGATCAGTAGTGGCATCAAACTGCACAGGCAGTGTGGAAATAGAGTCATTATTTCCCAGACCTGTTGTTTTAAGGGAGACACGGGAAGGCTGCCATTCAGGGTTTCACTGCGTATGATCAATGAAGCACAGCATTTCAGAAGTCACTTAAAGCAATCCTGTTCTGTTCTTTCCATATTCCCTAACAGAGCACCTACGTCTCCGGGCAGCTTCCCACTTCTTCACTTCTGTTAACTACTGGAATGTTCTCAGAAAACTAGGAGTGACCTTATCAATAAACATGAACAATTGTAGGTCTTTCCCTTAACTGTGTTCCAGGGCTCTCCTTTCAATAAATCAACCATTTGTTTTGCTTTTCTCCGGGTTCTTGCTCTCCCTCCCCTCCCCTTCCCCGCTTTAACCCCCCCCCCCCCCCCCCCCCGTTCCTTGTCCTCTGAAGGTCCTTAGTATCCAGTATGGGCTGGTTGGCTTGTACCTGGTCCTGTGGTGTCATTCATCTTCTATTTGCGTTCTGATGCTCTTCAAGCTAATGTGTGAGCTCTGAATTGGCAGGGTCCATGTCTACACAGCTATTGTCCACTTAATTTGGGGGAAAGCAACATGGCTCTTGGCATCTGTCCTTCTATTGGAAAGCGAACCTGGAGGCTGTTGAAGAAAATAAGCCTGTGAGAAACAGAAAGACATATTGACTGCGAACCTGTCTCTCTCTCTCTCTCTGTCTGGACTGTGAGCAACAAGGAATGTGGAGACAACGCTGATTACACATGGAGATAAAAGCAAGCCCAAGAAAACACTGTGGTGTTTGTTTCTCTGGGACAGGGTCTTGCTGTGTAGTCTCCAGGCTGTTCTTGAACTTCAGATCATCCTGTTTTAGGCACCTGGGTCTTGTAACTGCAGACATGGGCCACCAGCCCTCGGGGTGGTGCTACACTGGGTTTGACCAGCTGTCTCTATCACTCAGAATCGATAACTCCATTTAGAACTTAGCAAGGTGCAATCAAAGCATTCTTAGGGACTGCTTCTTGCTTTTAAGTACTGTAAGCTTCTTCTCTTGCAGTATTGTACCAATTGGCTCTTCATTTTAATTTAGATTGTTTAAAGTCAGTTTTAAAATACAGAGATCTCTGAATGTTATGACAATTAGCATGGAGCTGGGTACATTTGACACCGTGGGAAGAAATAAAAGGTCCTGGAAAACTAAAAGGCGAAAGAATAACTTACCTGTGGATGTACTTACTGATGAAGTGATTATTTAATTAATCTT